TGTGTCAGCATGGGATTTACATCCTCAAACAGCCATGAAGAACATTTCCAGGCTGAATTTAGCAACATTTTAGAAGGATTTGTCCTGTTTCGAAAAGACATGCTGGTATGTGGTGCAGGTTTAGAGAAGTCATGTGACTATTGTGTACTATGTACAGAGGAAATAGAGAAGAACTAATCTTCCTCTGTTCAGCACACACTGTAGCATGACTTTGAATAGGCACTGAATGTTCGGGTTCATTAATAGTAAAATGCTGTGGTTCCACTGTGCAAATGTGAGGAGTCAATGTCAGTAATTGCGTTAGCAGAAAGCAGGCATTTGCTGCCATAAATATTAGATGCAGTATAATTAAACTGAAAAAAAACAGAAAACAGAGTTCATACAGTTCATATTGAGTCAAATTTGAACTCAAAGCTTCCGAACATTCAGTTTCAAATCTTATGTATTTCTATTTAACAATAAAATTCATGAATAAATAAATAAATAAAATAAGCTTATAAGAAGTTTAAAAACACATTCAGGTACTATTTACTAAGAATTAAACACTCAAAATGTGTCTAATCTCCCCTCTGTGCAGGTGTAGTCTGATCTCATTTGACTGAAAATAACCAAACAATCCGCAAACTGCCGTCAGACAAATGATGCTAGGTCCTGATTGTCTACGGAAGTATAAGTATGAGTCACGCTCACCTCAAACCAGAGTGAAGAGTACAGAGATTTAAAGAAATACAGATATGTGTCCTGTAAAATAACCCTATCACTCAGTAGGAAATGCTCAGAAAATACTAATTTAACTGCTGTTTAGTGGCTCAGGTTAAAAATATACATATTATGAATTTGGCCCCTTGTCAGGTTTTGACCCTGAGATAACTCCTTTATAGGCTTCATTTAAGTTTTACTTCAGTGCAGGTTGTGCTCAACCTCCTAAACAGGTGTTGAATATTTTGTTCAAATGTCCTGTGATAAATGGCATAAGAACCGTTTCTAGACACTTCACAATAGCTCATTTTATAGCGGTGTAATTGAGTGTAAGGCAGGCCAAGGACACTACACGAATGTATGCCTGTGCTCTTCCTGTAAAGCCTGTGAATTGGGGGAGTGTGAGTGCTCAGTGAGATGAATCTCTACCTAATGACCTGCAATTGAACTCACATATTATTTGTTCTGCAGTCTTTATCAAACTGTAGAGTTGTACAATGTATGAAAAATGAAACTGATAAGGAGAAACTGAGGGTGGAAAAAGAAACAGATGTGCTAGAGTGTGGAGTGGTAACAGGAGCCGGGAAGATAGAGTGAACGGTGAATGAAAAATAGAAAAGATGGAGATGGAAGTTGAGTAGATTGTGACAGGAGGGAACAGTGTTTGTACTCTATCTGACACACTGACCCAGTGACGCAGCAAAGCTCACAGCTCACAGATTACAGAGCCATAGCTGTAGAAAGGGGAGGGGGGATTAATGGTGCCTCCAGAGAGGAGAGAACAGGGAGATTAACTGAATGAGGGAAGAGGGAATGAGGGATTACAGCTCTGTGGATGGCAGGAGCCAGAAATAATCCCAGCAAACTGACTGCCACAGTCCAGTACTTGTGTATGGGCATGCGTGTGTTGTTGCTCTTTTGTGGGTGTGATGTACAAATGAGTTAAAGTGATGAAATAAAGGACACAACGTGGTGAATGTTACCTATGGTAGATGTAGCTCAAATTACCCCTGTTCATATATATATATATATATGCATCGATGCAAACAATTTACAATATGGCGTGTGAAAAGATGGACTGGAATGTAAGGAGCTGATGCTGGTAAGGCAGAGAGATTGGCCATGGGGCCCCACTGAAACCATGTGCAGCCAATCAGTTACAGTCGGTCCCTCATCCCTACAAAGACTCTTTGATGTGAGCGAGGCCTTTAAATTCAACCCTGGGGAGTCACAAGGCTACACTGGCTTTGATCTGAATCAGGAGAAACCTTATGCTGTTCCTAACAACAAGACCGTCTGCACAACAACAAAACGCCTGCTTGCCCGACATTCAAAGCGTTGACGACAAGCACGGATTCATGGGTGGGTGGGAAAATCAGCCTACTAAATGCAAACATACTGTAAGTAATTTGTTCTGTACATCTAGATGATGTCTACAAGTGTCTGTACAGTGTAACTGGTCATGGTAACAGCAACAAGTATCTCTCTTAACGTACTGCAGCTGTGCTTCCCATTTTGAATTTGCTTGTGCACAGTAATTAAAGAGATTTTGTCCTTCAGTGCTTCCCTATTAGAAAACAGACTCTTTTGCAGTGCATTTTTATCTCAGACTGCCTAAAATAAAACCTGGCAGGTGTAAACTGGAAATCATAATGCTTCTATTGCTGAGACATCATTTCTGTCCATTAGGGTTGTCAATGCAATGGCCGTGTTGGTTGTGGCCTTAAAAAGATTTTAGGCATTTAGACAAAGTGGACATGGGTTTTTTTTACCTGTGTTGTCACACAGTCTATGATGTAAATACCCCCCCCCCCCCCCCCAATCTGCTCCCTCATCCTGTTATGCTGCTGGCTGGCAACCTCCCAAAATCCTCCGGCTTCTCGCAGCTCTGAGCTCTTCCCCTTCCTTGCCCCTTCTTCTTTCACCTCTTACTTTATCATCAGACAACAAAATGTCTGCCATATACGAGCCATGCCGAAAGCCCTTTTCCTCATCCCACTCCCTCTCGCTCCCTTCTCTGCTGTCTAACTGAGCTGCACAGCGGTTACATAAGAGCTAAGGTCAAAGTGTCACTGCCGTTGTCAAGGGAGACATAGAACAGAGGGGCTTTAGAGGAGATTGTGCATGGGGCGAGAGAGAGGGAAAAACAGCACACACACAAACCTGACAGGAAAAACTGTGCAGAGAAGGCTAGAGAAATTTAAGACTTGAACATGTGTGCATGAATAAAAACATCAAACAGTTGGACTCAGGGCTGCAGCACAAGAGATGAGGAAGTGTATAGATAAAAAAGATCTGAGATTACATGTAAAGAACAAGGAAGAGGAAAAGGGTTGGGAGAGGAAAAGACAAAATACTGTGAGCGCCTAGTGTCTTTCTGTGTGGGTGAGAGACAGAAAAAGAATCAGTGACTGTGGGTGCTCTGTGCTCGGCTGCTCCACTAACCTAGTTTGAGTAATCTCTGCCTTTATGTCGTTTCATAACACTGCTGCCAGAACATTGCATCATAAGGCGACCCGCTACAGCAACCCCCCAGCACCCACCCACCTCCTCCTCGCAGTCACAATACAGCGTCCAAAGCACACATTTACATCAGAATCTGAAATCCTTTTTATTCACAGATTAAAGCAGGGAAGATGAGCTGTAAATTTGCTTTTTTTTAAGTACAAACTGTCCAAACAAAGAGGATGATTCATGCGAGCAAAAAATAACACATTTGCTACAGAAATGCTGACCGCCGTTGATATAATACGAATACATGAGATACAACAAATTGAAATACTTCCTTCATATCCAGTACAGAAATATAAACCTGAAACAGAAACCAGACCAAACTTTGCAAGGTCACTCGGTGTAAACTGGAGCTGCTCCAAAGAAAATTAATTGAATGGTGGTGAGCAATCATTGAGGGAGCAGACAGGCATATTTACTTAACGATACTGGACTAAGAACACTACCCAGGAACAAAGCCCATTTGAGTACAACAGCTCCAATTAATATTCTAAAGCTAAAGTCTCTGCAGCAACTTGCAAGATTGTATATACTACCATTGACTTTTCTTTATTCTCAATTATTTGGGAATAGGGGTGCTCATTTTCATAAATATCACAAGCACTATTAAAAGTGGCAGTCCGAAGTGAGTGCCATTGTTGTTAGGAAACAGTCTTTGTTTGGAGATGTTGATTCTGCTCGGCTGCAGAGAACAATTACTGAGGCTGCTACTGATTACTTTCTCGATTCATTATTTGGTCTATAAAATGGTCTTTGAGAGTCTTCCTTTGACTGACAGTCAAAAATCTAATAAAAATTGACATCTATATCATATCATTATTATCTTATTACTGTCATTTAAAGGATCAGTGTGCGAATGAGTGACATTTGCGAGGGGGGGAAGTTGCACAGGCAACTAACTGAACACCACTCACTTGGTGAGTTGGATACCGGAACGAGAACAGGCCGGGGTAAAGGGTAGTGAAATACGACAGGGCGCGAAAACAGCCAAAAAACACCCCCGCGGACTGGCCAGTGTTGTGGCCATGGGGGCTCGCCAGAAACAGGGCGGGTCGAACAGGGCAGCCGAATGAAATACACCGGCTGGCGGAGAAAAGAGCGCATTCGAAGAAGCAAACACAAGGATCCTATGGATGAGAGGATAGACACGAAATGAAACAGACCGTGGAAAGGATGCAGTCGCGAAGAGTCAGGCCCCCGAAATGGCCCCCTAAATGTTACACACTGGACGAGCATTTGAGAAGCTGGAACCAGTGAATTTGAGGTACTTTTGCTTTAAGAAAAAGAAAAAAAAGAAAAGACTGAAGAGCTGATTAATCAACTATCATCTTTACATTCTGCTACTGTTTCTGTTCCTGCAACACAGTCACTTTTCAGGTTTACAATTCTGGAAACCAAAGGTTAATATAAAGTCATCCAGGTCAACACCATTGAGGTTAATATCCCATAATAAGGTGTCACCTCTCGCAAACAAATAACCTGTTTGATAGCTACTTGCTATTTGTTCTAACAACACCTAATTAGTCAGGTATGAATCAAACTGACACATTTATAGACTACAGCCTGTACTGTTACAGCAACTGGTGTAGACCTAAATTACATGGAAAGGGGGGGGGGGCTGTCTTACATTAATGTCTGTTTTAAAGCAGAACTGATTGTGGCTCTAATTACCTTCCTTTTATTTCTCTCGCTGCACCGCTGTGAGTAAACGCCAGGCACCACAGTCAATCATTTTGCACAGCCACCTTAAACTCGCTCCCGACTGCGCGCCCCCGCGAGCGCTGAGAGAGGAGCTGTCGGCAGTGAGATCATGGGAGAGTCCACGCTTGGAGAAAGTAGGTTAGCAGGGTAGACTGAGAGGAAAGCAAGCGTAGAGTCAGAGCGCAGAGGGGGGGTACAGAACACCTCTCGTCGACCACCGTGGGACTATTCTGTCAAAAGAAGTTGAGACAAATCTGTTCCCCGAGACTGTTACGATGCGATCCAAAGCGACTTTCTTCACTCTTTTATTCCGCTCGGACATGACCGAGCGATAGAGGGAAAGGAGTTTCGGGTAGTTACTCTTTTTTTTTGTTGGTCGTGCTTTACGAGAGCTGTCTGCAGCCGGGACGAAGTTAATATTTACAGAGCCAGCTCACTCTGGCTCCTGCGCTTTTATTCTCCTCCTGTCCTGACACCTACATTAACCACATGTAGCCGAGTTCCCATCGTCCAGCACAGGAAGAAGAAAACATCCAAAATGAGAGGTGAGTTGATTCTATGTCACAGTAAAAATGGGTGCATGTTTAGTTTGAAGTTGGTTTAAGGGTTTTTGTAAGGGCTTGAACGGCCACATGTGTGCGCACGGGGGGGAAACTTGAGTGCGCCTGTTTTCCTCCCAGTGCGCATTAATCCCTCATGACTGGATTATCTGTGCACAGAGCCCCGAGGCTGCACGCTCCACAGCGAAGTTCAGCATGTAATGTTTGAAGAGCTGGAGGCATGCTGTTCAATCATGAGAATTTGCTCAACCAGATAAATTCACTTTGTTTTTGTAATCACCTCTCGGGTCTGTTTATGTTGGAATCAGTCCAAGACTTCATTTTGTACACAGGCGTGATTTTGCTTTATGATTCATGGCGGTGCCGAATGTGTCTGTTTTTGCAAAATACAAACAAACAAAAAAAAAAAATGTGAGTCATATCTCACCTGGGAGTCCTTTTTTTTTTTGTCTGGGGATCCATGTTGGAGTTATGCAATGAGGTGAGGGAGGGGCATGAGTGGAGGTTGTTGTTAACCAAAACTGGAATTATGTAATCCAGATGATCGGGTTTCAGAGCAGGTGAACTAAAACCATATATATAGTGGGCGCTTTAAAGAATAAAACATGCATTAAGATATTTTTCTTGAATTTATTGGTAGGCTAATAATCAAGTTTTGTGATATTTTCTATAAAAAAAAATAAAAATAAAAATAAAACAATCCTGATAAATCTGGCAAACATTTCGTTTTTTGTGACATTTACTTGACAAGATGAATTTGAACAGTGTTGGTGTAGTTATGATGTTGTTGTGATGTGATGGCTGTGCCAGCATGGCCGACAGTGTGAGCGTACAGAGGGAGAGGGATCTGGCTGTTCCACTGACCTAGTTATGTCACCCAACGTTATACAGCAGCATACGCAGCGGAGGGAGGCGGAGCGGCTCTGGGAAGCGCCGTGCCGCCGGCCGTGCAGCGACATGTGCGGTTACAGGCGCAGACTGACGGTGACACAGGCTGAGCTTGAACTTGGGCAGTGGGGGGCAGAAGATGATTGTTTTTAACAAGGAAGGTTGTTTATATAGAGCCTGAGCATCTTTTTTTTATCCGTAACACCCAAATATTTTCAATTAAAATAGTAATAATTTTAATGTTTATTAGCAACCTGTTGATCATGTTAACTTAAGGCATTTCTTGCTGTGCACATATAAGATCCACAGCATACTTTAGCCTCTAAGAATTTTAATTGAAACTTATCTTCATGCAGATCATAATTTTAATCCTCCTTGTCTTAAGGTTTACTAATGTTTGGTTCTGTTCTTGTGTTGCACTGCTGCATTTCTGGCTCTGAGCACTGCCAACTTTACAACCTTTTCTTGTGCACAATGGGAGACAAGCTGCAAGAGTTGCTGTTTTTTTTTTTGCTCAGGGGAGGAAAAGAGATGAATTTTTGCACAAAAAATGTGGAGGGAGGGAAGAGGGAAGACGGGGCCTCTGGTGGAGGGAGGTTCCATTTCTGGCAGGATATCCAAATGTAAACAACCTACAGCCGCTCTTAGCTCACTACACTGAAAATGTAGGTTAGTCACTCAACTCACAACCTGTCGTTTCCTCACTAGAAACTCACGTCAGCGGTTTTATCCCAGTTTGAACACATATCTGCCAACGCAATCATTTTAGTCCAAATTGTTGAGTCATTCCTGCAAGTTTGGCACTCTGGCAGACTTGACAGGTCTTGTTGTGATGTCTGGACCTCTGACACTTCCTATGGTTTACTGTACTGGATAGCAGATTACACTTCTGCAGAATGTATTAGTATTTATTACAGACATAGTGAAAGATCATAAGACTCATGTCACACACTGACAGCCGGTAGAAGAGGCCTATGGAATTCTTAGCTCTGTTGTAATCCCCCTTTTGTGGGCCTCAGCTCGGCCTCCGCTGGTATTTGCATCTTTTAAAATAGAGCCCCCTTGATTTAAATGCACTGGACGCCAGACAGCCTGATTGTATGAAAGCATTTTGAGTTGCGTCTTATCAGTTTTGTTTTTCACATATCCCTCAGAGAGTAAAATACTAATATTTTGTGAGAGCTGTATGTTAGAGAATGGGGTGTAATCAGTGAGACATTTGCCTTCATGGATTCAAGCAGAAGGTGTGAAAACAAACAGGTTTTGTTTTCATATCTGAGAATATATCTGCTCTCAGTGGGTTTATCTCTGCAGGCCTTGAGGCTTGAGGCATCTTATGGAAACAGAAAAATGTGAAAAACACGCCTGTAGTCAATCATGGTTTAA